GCCCTTCTCACCCAAAAGCGAATCATCTTCCTTGGGCACAATCGACCTTCGGGGGAGGTTGCAGAGGCGGTCCTCGCGGCGTGCGCTTTAGCATCCGGTGGCGTGCTGCGTGGTTTCGTGCGCCATGCGTTCCCGTACACCGATCTCACCAAGATTGACGACCTTCTCAAAGTTCCGGGCTTCATCGCGGGCGTCACCAACCCGGTTTTTGCACATACCCCAGAATGGTGGGACCTGTTGTGCGATCTGCCTACTGGCCGTATGAAGATTAGTCACCGTATAGAGGCCGCACCAATCACCGAGGGTCTTTTATTCTTCCAGCAACAGGGCATTCCGGTCGCAGGAACGGGGAATTCACAGTCTGTAGATAAAAGTGGGATCGATGCTACCGGCGATAACCACTACATGGAGTCACTGCTCCAAAGCATCGCTAACCGGCACGGCGAGACTGCCATTCGTGCCAAGTGGCGATCGTGGATCTTGAAGTTCACACGGATAGCTGCCGCTTTCGAAGAAACCGTCTATGGCGCATCGGCACTCTACATTGGATCACATGAAACCGATGTTGGTGTCTACGGTGTCTCTGGCCACGGTTTTGTTTGGCCCGACGAAGCGTCGCGTCTGAGGGAACTTGCAGCAAACGTTCACAGAGTAGAAGGCTGGCGGAGTACGAGGTCTTACTTTACGTTTGTGCAAGATTTAGCAGGGCGGTGGGACAAGCGGCCTGTGCGAGGGATCGACCTGTATCATCAGCACGATCGTCTCCGATGTCTTCGCTTGACGCACGACCAGAGCGCTGCAATCTACCTTGCCTTTGCACGTGCGGTGGAAGAAGCAGGGGCGGAGAGTGCTTCAGAGGATGACCAGCCTTTGACCATGTCTGGGTCGCAGTCTCTCACGCTAGATCCAAGCCGTAAGCCGGGAGAGCAGCTACAGTACGATACTATTCTACAATTGCTTGGCGTCATTCCGCAAAGCAATTCTGGGCTATTCTATCTTAGCTTGGGGTTGTTCCATCCGAGACAGGACGTCAGGATCGCGGTGGTGAGATTGCTGGAGAGGATCATGGAACATCCGGCGGGACGACACTTCTGGGCCACGCTCGGACGGTTTGCGAAGTTGGCGTTCTTTCGCGTGAAGAGAGAGGAGGTGGGGCATGTGAAGTAAATGCTAGGTGTTGCTTTCTGATAGGAAGAAGAACGGACCTCATGACGGGCTTCCCGAGACCAATCTATTGATCCGATAAGTATCTGAGGTTTGCGGCTCCACTGGGTTGCTCCTGCCCATTCATGTGGTTGTGGAAGGACCGGCCTAGCGCATGTCTCACCCACCATGACTCTTTGGATAAAGAACAGCGAAAAGCAAACCCGAATACGAACTCCAGCTGTCTGGACGAGCCGCCTCTAGCAACTTCCTATTCATTGGCAGAGTTCCTGGTGCCTAGCTACGGTGCTCTGAATAGCTATTGTCAAGCTTGCGTCATGGCTCTCACATCTCGCCTTATTAAGTTGAGGTTCTCTGCTTTCGTACCTACCCTTCCATAGATTCCGATGTCCACACCGGAGTGAGGAATCAGTGGGATACCCTCTTTGTGCCCTATGATACTGAGCTAACTGATGCTGTGCTTAGCTACCATAGTTCATCCGACATTGTACCTCTCAGACGCGTTCTTCCCCCAACACAGCCATACGCTCGGCCTACGGCTTCGCGTGGAACTGACCCCCAAGACGCAACCAATCCCGAGCCCGACCATACGTAAATATGGACGACCTCAATTCAGCATTCAACTCGACACTATACCAAGCCCAGATCCCGCTTCTCGATGCGATAGACAAAGTCCGTGGCCATCGTGCTAGTTTTTATGATGACATCCAATTCCCACAATGGGTCGTTGTGGGAGACCAGAACACTGGCAAGAGCTCCGTAATGGAAGCAATATGCCGAGTGCACTTCCCCATCCACGATGGTCTCTGCACGCGTTATCCAATTCAACTGGAGCTCCGCAATAGCAAGGAAAAGGCTGTCCTGGCCAGCATCATTCCCGGTCTTTCACGCACAGCCCATGAGAAAAGCAAGCTTCAAGCATTTCAAAAAAAACTTCTCGACATCTCCGAATTGCAGGATGTCGTCCGGGAAGCTGGATTGGTGATGGGAATCTCTACCACGGTAACATCTACTGCTGGCCGGACAAATGAGCGCCAGTTCAGCGACGACCTCCTGCGGATCTTCGTGTCAGGCCCGGAAATCCCGTCGCTAGCGATGCTGGATCTGCCAGGTCTATACCAGACTCAAAGCAAAGATCAAGACGCAAGCGGAAAGACGATGGTGACAAATCTTGTCAAGAAATACATGCAACAGAAGAACAGCATCATCCTCCTAGTCGTTTCTGCGCGTAATGATTTCGAAAATCATGTTGGCCCTAGCTTTTTGCCGAAAGAAGCCCAGAAGCGGACCCTTGCAGTGCTCACACGTCCAGATGATGCGGCAGATCCAGACCGACCACTTCAAATCGTGAAAGGTCTGGTAGATGATCAGAGTCTGACGTGGCATTGCCTCCGTAATCTGTCATCCGCAGAAAGGAAGCAGGGTAAGAGCTTGAACGAAAGAGATCGACTTGAAGAGGAGTTTTTTGATCAGCCACATTGGCAGTCAATTCCCAGTCATCAGAAAGGAATCGGTGCATTGCAGAAGAAGCTTTCTTATATGCTCCATTCGGCAATCGAAAGAGAGTTGCCACGGGTGATGAGTGAGCTCAACAAATTGATAAATGTGACCAACGACAGGCGACGAAGATTGGGCGAGCCTCGAGCAACTTCTCAGGAACAAATCGAATACCTTTCAGACATGGCCCACAAATTTGAAAAGTGTGTGACAGCAGCCACTGCAGGCGAATACGATCGATTCCCAGAGCTATTCGGAGATCTCGATACATCAAGCCACCAGAGCTCTTTCCAGAATTGCAAACTCCGGGCAAACATGCGAGAGTTGAACCGGGTGTTTCGCGTTGTTATGGATGTGGTCGGCAAGACTATGGTCATCCATGAAACGCTGCCGGCTGCTGTAATATCCACACCGCAAGTCGCGCCCGAGGATATTCCAAGTGTTGAGCAAGAAAACATTGCTCCATTTCAACGACACCCTCACTGGGCAGGACTGGCAGAAACACTTTCGCAAGGCAAATCCTTCTTGAAAGTTGACTAGCTTGCGGCGTACGATTTTGCGGTACCCCAAACAATCAGCGTCAGTGAGTACGTGGAGGCAGTTGAAGATCAATCCGCTCAGTGGAGAGGTAAAGAATATCTTTCGCAAGCTCCAAGCGCTATGCTTGGCCTCATGTTCAAATCGCAATCTCGAAAATGGAAAGCTATCGCGCAAGTACATCTGGATCTGGTCTGGAGAGCAGTCGACTACTTTATGGTGTTCGCGTTACAGCATAGCATTCCCGAACATGATGTTCGGGAGCGATTGGTAGAACACATCATTCAGCCTCGTCTCCTTACTCTGCGTAAATCAGTCGACGCGAAGCTTGAAGAAATCATCGACTGCCATGGTGGGGTGAACACTGGCTTGATGGATGCTTATCAAGATACGCGAAACCATAGATTGCAACAGACCTCGCCGCTTGCAAGTACAAGCCTTGACGCCTGGGGGTCGACCTCCTTACGGAAGCCGGATGGTCCAAAAGCAGGAGCGAAGTTCATCCAACAGCTAATCAGACTCGTGTTTGACCCAAAGGGCTTTGTATCTGACGTATTGTCAAGCTGCTGGTCATCGTCAAATGCTCACAGTCCCACAACACCGCAAGGAACCCATGACAGTGCATTGAGAAAACACGATGCTTCCATACTCGTGCGAGACAGTGAGGCATTCTATGAGGTAAGATCTACTGACAAACCACCCATCAAGGACAGAATCAGGCTAAGCTAGCATAGTCGAATCTCCAATTCTTCATCGGCGCTATATTCGGTCTCGTAGTTGAAAAGGGCCTCATGGAGAGACTGCCCGACGAACTGTTCACTCAACGCATCGTTCGCCACATGTCTAAGGCAACCCTGAAACTCGTAGCTGGGGAGACCGAAGGCACTGCTCGTAAGCGAATCGAGTGTGATGAGGAGTTGAAGGGACTGGAAGAGTGTCTGAATAAATTGACGACAGGTGGGCGTATCTGATATGAGGACATAACAAGAGGCAATATCACCTGGGGACTTGGATGGCTTTGTTATATGGGTTGATTTGGGACATACAAGAGGGTTGCATTGGAACTCACTAAATTCTGGATCTTGACTTGGTGTTCCTTGACGCGGCAGTCCATGTACGGACGAACCTAAACAGGATTTGACACTGTGCTCTTCGTTCGACTAATCGTTCAATGATCACCATTCCAATTGACTGTTTACAATCCATGGCTACAAAGTGAGAACGCACGATTGTGATTAACAACTTCGAACAGCTCAACCTTCTGGAGACTGGAGTCGTGCACGATAGAAGAGACGGAGTGTTTGTCTTTCAATTGGGAGGATGGCGTATGAACGAACATATTGATATAATATAATGGTATGAATACATGGGTGGTGAGTACGTAGTGTTGCTGCATGGGAAGTGATGAACTATACGTACCTGCTCTGAATAATGCCGCGATGTCCTCCTTACAGCAAACTCCTCTCTTTATACCTTTCAATTAGAACCATATCGTTTTCATTGCATTACAGGTAGGCAAATTGATGTCTTACAAATCCTTCCACCGACCTCTCCAGCAGCACATCGCGGACATAGCCCACATTCATAATAACTCGATCCTTCAAAGTGAATGCGCCTGACAGTCACGTATTATACTCTCTTCCTTGCCTCCTATCTTCCTTCCATATACAAATTCACTCCAAGATCTAGCCAATCTATCACATCCCATCCCGTCCCATCCCACCACCTTTGTCACTCGATTGCATCATTCACGTCCCGTTCCATGCGCCCCGAAGCACGAACCAAAAGAAAATACACAGTAAAGCACCCGCCGGGACTTGAACCCGGAACCTTGGAATCATGAGTCCCACGCGCTAACCAATTTGTGCCACGGGTGCGGGGGTTGTGTTTGTTTGGTGGGATTGCGGGGGGTGGGTAGTATATGTATGGGGTGGGCAATTGGGTAGAGGGATGGGGAAGAGGTGGAAGAGGTAGAAGTGGTAGGCGAAAGTGCAAGAGGATAGAGAAGGCGTGGGATAGATGGTTGTGTTCTCTTGATAAATGAAAGTACACGAGATCAATCTCCAAGGCTCTCGCCGGAGGACACATAAGCGGATGATATTGAAAAGATGAATATTTGTGCCTCTGGACCAGACAGAGAGAACAGTCAAGGCTGGTCTAGCTTCCGAATAATCAGTGTCAACAAAATCCCGCAAGCAGAGACGATATACGCCGAAACGCCAAAAGCCCCTTGTAGATCCATCTTGTACCTTGACCAAAGCACTCCAAACAGTATGCTACTCAGCAAAAAGATCAAAAACACCAATACTACAATCTTGTCCCCGTCCCATCCTTCGCTGTAGTACATGCCCCATCCCTCTGCGGGCACGCCGGCTCGGGCAAGCAGCTCGCCGCGCGTTCGCTTCGGGAGCTGGTCTAAGATCCAGGTATCATTCTCATTGATACAGGCCGGAGACGAGAAGAGATGCAGAAGATATTCCGAGGGTACAGGGGGAGATGTCAATGCAGGAATTGGCCGGCACTGATACTCCGCTTGTGATTTGGGCTCTACCTTGTCTTCTGGTGGCAGGCATTTGCACGAGGTAACAGTGCAGCAGGAACGGTGATCGAAGATTGCTACACTGCCGCCTAACGGAAGGAGAAACTAACGCTGTGTCAAGACATGCTTTTGTACTTGTTACGGCTTGGTTGCAATGAAGACTTATTTTAACGAAGTAGATTCCTTGGATGTCCCGCAAGCTCAGCATGGTCTTGAGCTTGCCCCTGCGACTTGAGAACTGCTCCCTGAGAAACCGGAAGAGCTGCTGATCGGTACTGATATCATCGACTCTGTCCTGACATAATATTTTTCCGTAGCGACCCTTGTGCATACAAGTCATCATATGTAGAATCTTTCTTGACCTGTTCCGCCGACGACTGCTCCCTGGAGTGGAAGCTCGAACATTAGACTGTGGGAGTGTAGACGTTCGTTGAGGTATCCTGAAATTTGACGCAATTTTCTCGATACCACTGCGCAATGCTGACAGTAGTCTGTGGTGTACCTGGCGCCCTGTGGATTCTTCGGTGTGTTCAGGGCCAGATGTGAATCTGACTGCCCCAGACATGCTCATTCTGGACATTAGATAGGAAACACCACCATCTCTTAGTTCAGTGACGTCGCTCCAAAACGCTTTCCCACATCTCTAAGGATACTGTTAGCTCCACTCCATGTCTGTAGGGACTGGTGTCTGATAAGAAGACTTACGCAATCCCATCTCAGCCGTTGTCGTCCTTGTTCGACTTCCGGTTCTGTATAGCCTATATACATGCAAAAGCGATCTCGTTCTTGATGCAGCCTATTCAGAAAGCTGGGAGACAACAATCGCAGCGGTAGGGTGACCGCTAGCCCTAACGAGGTGGTAAAGTTCCATAGATAACAGCGTTCGAGTACCTTCGTAATATAGCTTTGGTTGTAATCAAACTCTGCCTCCCAGTCAGTAGCCGAACATGGTCATGCCGCACCTTACGGTAACTCACCCGCTGAGATTTTACCACTCTGGATTTGTTGCATGAGCCACCAAAATGCTTCACTCCGTACAAGGAAGTCTTCCAAAAGAGCGTGATTATTGCTGGAGCTGAAATGAGAGATCTCTTCCCGATAATTCTCGTTGAGAAGCGCTTCGTCGTCTTCGTTCCCGGAGTCTTCTATCGCGAGCTTTCCCCACTCATACGCTGCCTCTACCGAATTGTCCAATATTTTTGCGAGTATGGTTTCCGCTATAGATTTTGCTCTGAGGCCCACTATGCGGGAAGCGACATACTCATGTCTGTATTCCGCCTCATCCTCTAGCCGTGCAGAGTATTGCTTGATAAGCTTGTGTAGATTTCTATATGTGTGCAAGTCTCCAATCTTGGGATTGTAGATGGCGGATCTGACTAGCGAGGAAAGCCTCTCGTTGTTCTCGAATATCGGAAGCAGCTCTTGCGTTGCGGTCGTTACGCAGGTGAAGGACTTTCCGCAAATGCTGCAGAAAACCTGTCGAGGTGACGATCCTGGTTTTGGATTGAATGCAGCCATTCCTCCATACTTTGACGCTTGATACATGATCTTCTAAGTGAACGTTGTTTCTGAGAGCCTTGTGAAGCCTTATCAAGAATCACGCCTGTTCCCTTGACAAATACCGAATAATGTCTCGTTGGCGCAGCAGACTGATGTTTCAATCGAATATTCTGATTGTATTCGTTGGAACCAAATTAGATGGAGTTCGAATACAGAAGGATATCGCTAATCTTGTAGTAATGGTAACAAGAAGTGGTAGCGACAAGACATTCGTGGTGCGCACGGCGTGCATGCAAGCTCACTAAGATCAATCACCAATTCTTCGAATGCCCAAAGGTTAGTCTGGACGAAAATTATAGGCCTTGAGACAAGTTCGCCACCGGGATTGTGATTTTTAATGAGAAACGGATGCCGACGTAGCGAGTGTGCTTGAACAAAAGGTCACTATGATCCATATAGTGCCGTAGCTGTGAGATGTTTGGCTGGAAGCGCCCCGTCTTGCCGCGCGGTTACGCTCGAGTTCTGTTTTAATTTCATGTGAGTGGTGGAACACCTATTCAGCTCGAGCCTGGGGACAACATGAGGGAGTCGGTAACAGACCAATCAGGCGCCAGTATGTGCCTCAGCCTTTTGCCCTGAGGAACATAAAGCGAGTTTGGGCTGTCCATGGTTCAGTCATGTCGTAGAGAGGCGAAGGACTAGAGCTCGATAGTGCTCCAGTATTTTCACCCTGATTGGTGATGTCCCGAATTCACGGCGGACTTGCGTAAATATCGTAGGAACATAGCCATTTCTACCACCAGTGGAGAAGGTGTCTATGATAGAACAACCAACATGTGCGTGATCGTCGCCTCTCTGTGTCCTCCCTTGCTGAGCCCCTCGTTTCAATGTTGTCATCGCATACTCCACCTTTGTTTGACTCATATCGAGCTGTGTGATAGAGATAGAAGACCCTCCGAGAGTATCGCTTTGTTTCGGGAATCTAGAACAGCCAAGTCTTTGAACTACATTCGGCGACTATATTTACATCACCCGCCCGAGCTGTTAATTCCTAATTTCCCCTCTAGGCGTTTATTGTTCGATGAGTAGGTGAAACTCTCAACAATACCGCCTGTCGGGTACTTCGAACTTGGTTCCACCAGAAGCCATTGCTGATTCTATGCGTAATTCCTCTTATACCAGCATGCTTCTTGTGAGTATACCCACGCGGGGTCTCTTTGGCGTCTCGTGCTATCTTGCTGACATTTTGAAGACCAACTAAATGAGATCTGCCTCCCTTAGGGCTGCAAGACTCTGCTGTCCCAGTCTGACAAGAAGAGTTGTTGAAACTCTGTAAGCAGCAATTATGTATGCTGGTAGACGTGATTCATCCTAAGACTGGCCTAGGAAAACGATACTCAAGCTGCAATAGAGTGCCATCAACGCAATGAATTGACGCGTGTCTAAGTGTGTTTCAAGATGACCGTATGCTAGCCTTGTTTCGCCAATTTCTTCATGTCGTTGTAGCAGATCCAAGCTCCTCGTGTCATCTTGGTCGATGTTTCGGTATCGATCCAATAATTGAGTTTTGGTTAGATAGTTATGTCTCTGAGCGCTCGTCTCGAGACGCGCATCACCGGATCCAAAAGTCCACACTAGATCCTGTGAAGCGGTCGCCAATTGAGCAGTAGAAGAAAGCGAGCCCCATGAATGTACTGAATCGGCACCCACAGAATCAATAGATTCTATGTCGCTCTCGGATTGCGTGTCTTCCAGATCATGCCCGCACGAGTCCATTGTCTAGGTCATGCAGTGACCCCAGGCAGTCTGTTGCAGCGATTCGTCGATAGCTTTGAGATGTTTCGATGAGAAATGGTGCTTGCGTAAAGGCACTTGTAGCTGGTAGTACTGCAAGATCTCTCGAGAGTGTCTAGATGACCGGTAATGGATTGTCCTAGACTGTATCCAGTGTCTGACTCTCGATTATTGGAACAGGTGATTGTAGTAGCATGAACGTTCAAGCAACGTCGCGACTCTCGTGATAGATTGGAGAGGGATGAACTCCAGGTCTGACGTCGCGGCATGTGTGCTGGCTGAGTCTCGCTTACTGGTTGATTGCGCCCCGCTTGCCAGATTGCCCCCAACTTCAGCCTTGTCGAGGGAAAGAGCTTTCGGAGAGCAATGTAGAGAGGAGGGCGTTGCGAATATCGTGTTCACAAGACATAGCATACCCTAGGTAGTCCGTGTTGAAGCCGGGGTGACCGATGACCTACGGCTTGAAGAGCGAATTCATAACAGATTATATGCCGTCTCGTCAGTAAGCAGAGTCTTGAAATAAGTACTTCGCGGGAACGAGTAGCATGAACAGCTGAGGCAATAGTGGAGAGGCAGTAGATGTGCTCAAGTATTGTCAGAGTGTCAGAATCACATGCGACAATTTGGGATGTATGGCGGCGAGCGTATGAGGCGTGGCTCTATCCCATTGTACAAGATAAAGCTGACAAGATATATTTATGGCTAGTGTTGGCTGAACGAGAGGTTGGAGTCAATTGACACTCTGCTGCTGCTCGAAAGAGATGACCATGGAAACCGGAAAGCACGATGCGACTCTATACGAACCACAACAGCATTACCACGAAATGCCGCAACCTGAACCACACTTCGCTACATTCACCATCCATCGCTACCAACACCGCTGGCACGGATGTTCATTCGCTACAGCTAGTCTTACCCGACGATATCCTCTGCCATGGATCATGCCCACCGCATCATGTCCTTCAGCGAATTCCTAGCTTGGCGCGCCCACAACGTCCGCCATCAATCTTGCCGCTACGCTTCCTCTAGCGACAGCAGTATTGC